AAGAAAGCTTATGAAGGTGATCATTTTGCATTTTGTTAATATTTTTGTTTTCATTTTTTAAAGGTAGCCTATAAGATTTTCTAATTGAAATGAAGTCTCGACTCTTGATGGCCAGACCCCTTTAGAAAAGTTGCTAATCATCACAAAGTCAAACTTTTGATGGTGTTCTGTAGAATTCTCCTTATTAGATTCGATTCTACGATCTGAATGATGTGAAAAAAGTTAAATTGGATTTAGCTTGTAGGGAAATATTGGGTGTACAACAACTCACATGTGAACCCCCACTTGTACACCCACGCATTTTTTATTTTATTTTTGAAGGACCAATCTTCTTTTTGACCTTATTGTCAAATTTGGAAATTGCGTCGAAGATTGCTTGATTATTTTAAATTCTATTGAAATTTTATCTTCGACAAGTCATATTGTTTTAGTCAAGCTTCAATCAAGATTGCTCGTAGCATATATTTAAGTCAGTTTTAAAAAAAATCATTACTCCCTATTTGAGTCAATTAAAAATTTTAAGTTAAATTCAATAACTGTTCTTAACTATACATTTTATGATATCGACAACTTTTCAATTGCACACTTCATCAAATTTTATCAAAATCTACTAAAAATCTGATTTTTCAAAATTAATAGACAGGTAGGTCAGACACTTGAAGAAATGATATATGGGACGTGTTCGTTAGAAATTAAAATCGGATTAAAATTGAAAATTTAGCTGTTATTGTTGACTTTTATTAGACAAGTGGGATACAATAACAACTATATTTTCAATTTTAATCCGATTTTAAGCTTAGCCAAACATGCTCATATATAGCTCGAACAGTGGCCACTGTAATTAGGAGAAACATCATGATTCTTTATCATTACCACATTGCCCTTACCTTACCACCAACCACTCCCAGTACGACACATGGAAACCATGACGCCGCACCTAATTCTCAACCAATTACAAGCAAGTATTGATTACCCAGCTCCAAATCATCATTACCAAATGTCATAGCTGCAACATAAGCGTCATGAAGACTAGCTCGATTGACCTCAACAATCAATCAAGAAACTAGAATCCTGGAAGGTGACATGTATTTTTTCATGCATAAGAGGTTTTTCCTTTATGTTCGGCATAAATACCGATATTTAGATTGAACGACATTAAAAGTCTAGTAATTCAATTCATATTTAAACTAATAAAGTAAGAGATGAGACAATTATTTCAGATTGATCGAAACAAGTAGATGTAGCTAATAAATAGAATTGGAAGCTATGTCAATTTCATATTAATAAATAATTATAATATTTTTTTTTCCAATCCCTTTTTAAGTGAGGTCATTTATAATTCTTGAAAAGCTTTTGGACTATAACTGCATTTTTTTTCCCTTTCTTTTTTCTTTTTCTCCATTTAAAGAGGAGTAAAATTTGTAATTTTACACAATTTTAACAATTAGACGAGAGGACGAACTCTACTAATTAATTGAAAGATTGGGAATCAACGATGTAAAATTATGAAAGGAATTTGATATAATTTGCAAACATTGCTGCATCGGTCGATGAAAATGAAGAAGGGGAGAAGAAACTCTCTATTATTTCAACTTAAGCAATTGTGAATTACATCAGTGTATTTATAGACAATCATTATCAGCTAGCAAACTCACTAACAAAAGAAATGAATTATTCCCAACTATCAAACTAATAATCAGTTAACTGGCTAATTTATTCTTCCCGCTAGTTATCAGGTAAGGACGTTTGCTGGCACGTGCTAGTTGTTGTTCGACTTCCAGCTACTCCAGCTGCTTGTGCTTGTGAGGAATATGTGTCGTAAGAAACGATGCCAATAAAATTAGTTTTGGGACATGGGACGTGCCTCGACCTTTTCTCGAAAAATGCAACTTTCCCTTCTTTGAAGTTTGAATCATGGAGATAGTCCACCTACATTATAATCCTTCACAAAATAGTTCAATTCCGTCATCTCTCGTGACTTTTTGAGACGAAGAAAAAGAACATTTTTTAGGGAGGAAAAAATGGAAATTTCTTAATTTACAAGTAGTCAATAATTAGCTCGTCACATTTAAGTCCCGTAACATCGTTCTTCTACGCCTCATAATTTGATGTAGACAAATGTCAACTTGTAAGAAATTATTACATAACAGTGTACAGTGTATGGAAGACATTTCAATCCATAGAAGAAAATAGAGTTGGTACTTAAAAATAGACAGCTATGGCGTTTACTACGATAATATCATGAGCAATCAGAGTCAGATAGTCAATCATGGCACACAAGGTTAACTCAATTTGAGATCTGCATATTCGTATAGTACAATCGGTTAGCGTGCAAAAGTGAAAATTCTCTAAAACATGGTGCAACAAATAAAAACTATTCTTTTGAATTTTAATTATATTTAGAGTTACCTGAGGAAATGGAGTTTCATTCCCGGGACAACCTCGTCTATGTATTCGGCTCCTCCCTCGATTGCTTGAAGATGTGCTTATTCATTGTTTAATTTGGACAGTTATTTTTATTGAATGAATGAATCGTGAAAAACTTTAAAACTATTCGTTAATTCACTCTTGACATTTTTACATGAAGGTCTTGAACCTATGTATTTATTTCATGCCGCTTATATATGTTCGATCACGAATATCGACGATATTGAAATGAAAAAAATGAGAAGAAAAACAGGGGGAGAGTTGCAGCACATGCAAAACAAAATCCCTCCTTCGGTTATAGACTTGTGTAATTATTCAAACACTTTCAAGAGCTTTTTCTTTGGGCGGTGGAGCTAGATAGAGAAATATAGAGAGAGAAACCTTCTTGGTGAGATCGGTTTGTACTAAATTAGTCAAATGATGTCCGTACTCTTTGATCTTTATACTTCATCATTAATCTACCCTCTTAATTGATTGGATATCAAGAGTTGACCATAATGTATACACACTTATACATAAAGTTAGGCCACATAAATTTTTAATATTTTATGATATAATTATTTGTTATAATTCGCCACCTATTTAATTTAGATAAAAATTAAGAGCGTGTTTGACAATTAGTATTATAGAGAAAAGAGTGTTAAATAGTGATTTTCAGGAGAATATATGATTATAAAGTAAGAATATTTTTTTTGATATACGTGTAGAATATTTTATTGTTTGAATATGTTGTTAAAAATGATCGTGTACCAAACTATAAAATAAATTAATGTTTTGTTAGATTTTATATTATGATCATTTGTTATAATTTGCTCCCATTTGATTTATATAAATATTATATTTTTATTATAAACATTAATATAACGTGTGATTGAAAAGTTATGAATCCATGTGGATTGATTTAAATTTAAATTTATATTTTAAGTTGAACCAAACAAGGATTTCATATAATTTTAACATTTTATAATATATACAATATCATGAATGATCTACTAAGCACCGATTCTCATTTTATGTCGAACACCAGTGATGTGTCATATAAATTTATTGGTAGATAAATTTATGATGGGCCTCAATATTTAAATTAAGTTTTAAATTCACTAATAAATTTATAAACACGTCATCGATATTTAATATAAGACGAGCAACATTGCTCTTTAGATCATTCATGTATACAATATACTCTACTTATTAGCAATTAAAATTAATTATGCCCGTGTTTTGGTTTAGATAAAAATTATTTATTTGTTAAATTTTGAAAAATAATAATAATAGAGTGCATGGTTGAAAGGTTACGAGACTTATGAAATGTATGATTAAGACCATATTTGATACTCATTCTTTTAAAATACAGTTTTTTTTATCTTATTTTAAACCACACATTTTTCAATAAAATAATATTACAAGCAAATCCAAAAAAAAATTCTTATTTTTTAACCACATATTTTTCATCAAAACACTAATTAAAATGCATTATTAGAAGAATAAGGGTGTAAAATCAGTTGTTAACATTGACTTTGTTAGGACTTATGATTATTATAGAAGAAAATGATTATTCTAAAAGAGTTGTAAAAGTCAATAAGTCTTTTAGGAGATGTATAGATAAATTACGAGTCTTTGTATTCGGGTATGGAATAAGGATAAAGAGTCGTCGGATATACGTTAGCATGTCGTCTAGCTGATGCCAAAAAAACAAAATCATTGTCGCCCGACTCTCGCTCAAACGACACACCTCTTGCTCGTCGGCGCTTAAGCGATTATGTTATATGTGACACCCTAATTCGAGATTTTCAAGAGTTCTATTTATCCTATACTACCTCCCAAATGCCTCATATTATAAATATTCAATGCCCATTATATTTTTGTAATTGTTTGGTCATTATATTATATTTTTATAATATCATTTCAAGATTGAAGACCACATTCAAATATTGAGATTAAACATTTGATTTTTGAGATCAATCAATCGCAAGTTGAGAAAAATATCGAATTCAAATAATCCGAAACACTAACTTCCTAGATATAATCAGGAAGACACTTTATCAATAACTTTTAGAAATTGTTGAGATTTGAAGGAGACCGAACCAGAAGAACAGAAACAGTACAAGAACAAGATGCTCTTAGTAATCTACAAGAGATAGACATACTTAAATCTTAATTAATTTTTATAGCGAAACCAAACATGGGATATATCTTCCAAATTTTAGATCATTCGAAAGGCAAATTATATAGAGTAATGATATTAATAATGATGACTACTGATAATTATCTTACGTGACATACATGCGACAATGTGTTATTTGATGCATGTCAAATAACGAACTATCGCATATGATAACTATTGATAATTTTCACCATGAATAGCATTATTTCAATATATAACCTTGAATTACATTTATTATGAACAAAAAAGTTCTATATCAAATTTTATAAACTTCCTTCACTTAATCCGCAACTATACGTATACATGACATCACCCTTTTCTACACAAGACTCCGTTTAGTAACTTTAGTTACCGGGTGAATCCGTGGATAGTGGGACCCACTCCACGTATCTCACTGGTGACATAATCCATTGTTTGGACACACGTCCTCATTTATTCCAATCAAGGACAAAAAAAGAGAAAAACGACATAATCCATTGTTTGGACACACTTCTTCATTTATTTCAATCAAGTACAATAAAAGAGAAAAACTTGCACAAGAGCCACGCCGTGATTTTCAATAAAGCTATTTAGACCTTTTATAAGTGATCCCCACTACTTTTATCGACCTTTACTTCTTTGAAACGTGCCTCCCATAGTCAAAAGTCAAACCCCCCAACTTGGCCATGCAAATATATTGTAATATTACTTACTTTATACATACATGATTTGAGAGTTACATCATACAGGTGGCGGGACAGGTGTCTCCTTGGAAAACTCCAGCCTCCGATTCCGGCAGTGCAGTCGCCGGAATTTGACTGGTGGGATCTATGAAACCTATTATCTTTCCTTTTTGAACAATTAAAATATTAAAAAGAGTTTCTTTATAATTCTATTTGACCGTGCTATTGGGCCCGGCTCAAAGTCAGGCCCAAAAACAAGGCGCCTATGTGGTGCCCCCTATTGGATAAGTCAGCCTCCCTCCAATAGGGAGGCGCCACATAGACACCCTGTTTTGTGCCTGGCTTTGAGTCAAGCCAAGAATAATTGCCCTTCTGTATATATAAATTATGCTTGAATTACACCTAATATATATAAAAAATGTGAATGTAGAAAGTCATCGAAATTTGCCATGAAAATATTTTTAAACCTTTTTTTGACAGGACTATACATAATTTGTCTTAATATATATTATCTGTGTGTATGGATACTTGTAAAGTCTTTGCTATGATTTTTCTGTCTATCCACGCAAACAATTTATATAATTCTTTTGTTATTTTAGTATATCTATTCGTACAATTATTTTCTAGTCAGTGATGAATAATTAATTTCTCCGATTTGAACACGTACTGTGTATTTGTATATATGCATTAGGCGTCAATCAATTTTAATATATGAATAGTAAGATACGCGACAAGCAAGATAAGAAACAATTTATGATTTTAAGCTAATAATGGAAATTTCACAAGAAGCACGCACAACCATTTGAAGAACGATGTTTCCTTGTCGGAAAAATAACAAAAAATTGCGTCAAAGAAATTAATTCTACAGGAAATCAAGTCCAAGCCAAGCACAGAGGATTTGAAAAACATTTAATTAAGATAAATTCATTCTTAATGAAGTTACATAAATTCATTTGCATTCAAGATATCTTGAATATCGAAATTTAACATGTTGCTGCAGTAGCTCTCTCTCTCATCTTCATGACTTGTACTGCTGCTGTTAATATAAGTTGAGTTTGATTGCAATGGCGTTGGACTTGATGAAGGCGTTGATATATTGGACAAAACGGACTGGAAGTTGAAATTATTGCTGCTATTAGATTGAAATGTTGAAGTATGATCATCAGACGGAGGAGGATCTATGATGGATTGATTGGACGGCCCGTAGTAGCCGTAATTTGTGACTGCAGGTACATAATCTTCTGCCCAAATAGATGGCATTAATCCACTGCTTTGCCATTCATTCAGTGGGCAATTCTGTGAGAAACGTTCACCGTTTGATTGCATCATAAGTTGAGTTTGATCATCTTGAACTGGGGTTTGTAGTAATTGGCAAGGTTGGACTAATGGGGGCATTTGGTTTTGGACTTGGGCATTGGAAATCTGATTTTCTTGAACATTATTTTGTAGAAGAAAATCTTGGTTTTGGGATGACAAGACAGAAGTAGCTAACCTTAGCAAATCAGGGTTTATTATATTCTGCATCCCTAATAATCTTGAAAAATTAAAATGGGATGAATTGTATAGGGATGAGTTTAGAACAGTGGATAAATCAAGAAGATCGAGGCGAGGACTGTGAGTCACTGGATCAATTCCCATTCGAAGAAGCCTTTTTCTAATGTGGGTGTTCCAGTAATTCTTGATTTCATTATCAGTTCTTCCTGGAAGACGAGCCGCTATTGCAGACCACCTATTCATGGTCAAGAAAAAATGATTAAAAAACCCACGTTGCCTTTTCAATTTCCATGTAACTTTAAAGTCAGACAAAACTTTAAACTTACTTGTTCCCCAATATACTATGCAGTTGAATTATTGTCTCTTCTTCTTCGGATGAAAATCTTCCTCTTTTGATATCAGGCCTTAGATAGTTAGTCCAACGAAGGCGGCAACTCTTTCCACACCTCTGAAGCCCTGCATAAACAAAATTCAACAAAAACTGCTGAAATTCTCGACGATGCAAAACTTTAAGTTCACATTTGGTAGGTTAAAATGCAAAAAATTCAAAAGAAAAGTAAATATACCAGCATTCTTTGGAAGGGTTCGCCAATTTCCATAGCCATGTTTATGTATATAATCAATGAGTTTTTGATCTTCTTCAGGGGTCCAAGGGCCCTTCTTGAGTCCATTTTTGTCACAACATGGTGCTCTTCCCATGGCGTGTTAGCTTCTGTTTGAAGGGTTAGGACAATTTATTAATATTTCTGATCGAATTGGCAGAGAAAACTAGAGAGCGAGATAGAGAATTTGGAGGTCCGAATGTGGAGTCCTTGGTTTATGTGTATATATAGAGGGGATTGGGCTATAAGAGAACAAATACAAGTCAAAATAATTCGGTGCCGTCCCTGTTAATCACTGAGGCGACGTGTCCCCATTCTCAACAGATGAATGTGAACTTAGCTTTCTCTCTCTCTCTCTCTCTAGGGGAAAAGAAAATCTCTCTTTTTCAAAACTTTGCATTTTAGGGTAGAATAAATGAAATAACTCGAAACGTAAGTACATGTTTGACAAAGTTTATAATTGCTCATAAGTTGATTAAATTTTTATTTATTTATATATTATGTAAAATCTATAATTTTTATCTACTTTTATTTACTTGTTATCTATACTTCATAGCATTCAAAACTTTAATCTAATGAAATATTTTTCAAACGTATTAAAAGCTTCGTCTCTTAGTCGATGACTGTTTTAACTAAAAAAGTTGATAAAATTTAATTCAACGTCAACAATTAATTTGTCGTATATTTCATTAGACCTACAACTAATTTTATAAATTTTTTAAATACATATTTCATTAATTTTTGTCAAAATCTACTAAAATATAATTTTTAATCCAACCAAACGCAGCTTAATCTCTCCATCTTCACTCAAAGTCATAACAGTCATCCATATATCATTTTCGTGCGAGATGTATATCCTTTCTTTCTGGATTCATAGTAGCTGTCACCAACAACATAAGTCCACGTACCCACTTTAAGTTACCCTATCCTAGACCTGTGTTACGGGCATATCACGACTTCTTATCGTCTTGCATGGCTTCAAAATCAAGCCGGCCGGCTTTATTAAGCCATGTAGCGTGTCATATTGAAAAGACTGTTCAGTCCCTCATCTTCGAGTACGATTATACAATGTATTCTCTCTCACCATGGGCAGCCTGGGATTTACACACTTTTTTCTTTTATTGCTGTGATTTGATACATACGATGATGTGGTCCTGTTTTGGCATGGTTGGAAAATTTTGGATATTTGATGTTGAATAATAAATGCTTTTAGAGACTTTTAAGTGAACATTAATAAATTCATGGAGACAATAATAGAGCTTGTTGCTTGCCAAAATATGGGAGCATTTATTACTTTAAAAAATGTTTATATATTATTAACTATTTTCCCGATATTTCATCTCGTTTTATAAACCTTCACCAAACGATGACAAGTGATTTACTTGTTAAACGTTGAATAGCAAAATTTACTTTTTAAGAAGTAACTTTTAAATGTGATCAAATAAGAAAGAAAAGACGTTTTCATCAAAAATGAAAACACGATAACACAGATTAGCTCGAATCTCGATCGACTAAATTCTATTTCAAGCCTTTTTAGTTCGATAACATCAATTATACCTAGCAGAGTACCAGACCTTATACGTGGCTTCAAGTTCAAGCAATACCTTAACTCCCATTAATTTCTTTGTCAAGCCTATGCTATGTCATAAATCCATAATTTATTAATATTTTATTAGTAAATGAAGAATCGGAATGAGAAATGAAGATATTTCAATCCCGCTCCTGCACCACCTCATCTTTCGGAAATCAAATTGTTGGTAGAGATGGACATTAGGAGTTTTTCTCCTGAAAAACTGTCATCTCTTTAATGAAGGTCTATAAAATCGCCTAATATGATAAAACAATGACCAATTTGCAATTCGTGCTGTGTGTTACAACCAATCAAATTGCTAACCAAATACTTTCATCGTCAATGTCGGATATTAAATATTTGTTATTGAGTATAAGATTGCGTCATAAAAGTTTAATTTTTATGTGGAGCAGAAACTTAAGAAGACGAGTTTAAGGTCTAGTCGATGTTAAAATTTTATTTGCATGTCTCCGAAAATTTCCTCAACGAAGTGCCACATTATTATCATCTCGATAGTCTCCCCCTCGCAAGAGGGTTTCTTCCGCCACAGAACTTCCCATCATTGTGTTTAATTGTGTTCACACTGTCATTTTAATCTTCTACACGTCTGAAAAATGAAAATCCACCTTATGTCAACATGTACAAATTTGGGACATGGACAAAATTTTTTGTTTTTCATAAATACCTATAAATTATTATCTCCTTGAATTACTCAAGTATTTAGTGGGATCAAAATAGAAACTAATCAGAATAGAAGGAAATAGATTATGGTCCACTTATCAACACATTAACTCCAAATTAAACTTTGGTGACAACGTTATTATATAATTAGGACACGTGTTAGCATATAACGTATCATGAACTCCAAAATCACGTGTAAAAGTGTCTCATTAATATCGTCCACCTTTACCTCACATAAATTAAATATTTATTTTTTGGTCAAATATTATTATATTCGTTAGTAAGATATTATCTCGTGTTCTTTCTGGTTACATGGCAACTTTTCGATATTAACTATCCTTAAATAAAAGATTAAGATTAAGATTAATTACGATGTGCGCGCGTAATCTTAGGCTAATGTCCCCATGCGTGTTGTCAAGAAGGCAACAGTATAATTCAATTATTAATGAAATCAAGCTTAATCAGCAGATAGCAGATTATTTTTAGGTTTTTACACTTAATTTATACAATCTTATACTTGAATAAGCAATTACTTGTCGAAAATCTAAAGTTCGCTTGAAAATAAATACCAGATTAAGTTGCTTACGTTCCAAAGTTGACAAACAGACGTATAATTTTTTAGGTGGATTATGTGTTAGTTTTTGCTGTGAGCTGTTGGTTTACTCCAACAAACATTGAATATTAATGGGTTTTAGTTGAATAACTAATTATTTTATCAATTATTTTTACTTATAATTAGATTATGAGCTGTTTTTAGATATCGAGATCCAAGGAATGTGTGGATAGTATGCCATGTTGCTATTCAAAGCCATTCCATCCATATTGTTTAAGATTTTGTTTACGTATACGCACATTATAATATATAAACAGAAGATTATACACATACGTATGTATATTTGTTTACCATTTCATGCAATATATTGGAATGAATTATGTTGATCCTAAAAAATGTACCAATGATGTGGCCAACAAATCCCAAGACATCTCACGTTCACGCATGCCAGATTCTTGTGCACTTGGACAAGTTGTTAGTCGCGTGACCTTCTCCCAAGAGGGTGGAGTTGGCCGCGTGCCCTCCGACGATCCAGTCAGTCGGAGAAAATAGTGAAAGAAGTGTGGGAGAGTTTTAAATGTGAGCCTCCTGTATAAAAAGGGGGGTCGGCTTTGGCGTAAAATGAGTAGAGTGTATTGTAGCAAGATTATAGTTTTAAGAATCTAAACTTGTATTACCTTTGAATAGCACTAAGTGTGAGTTTTTATACTTCGGTACGAAAGATAAGGCCTGTTTAATGGTAATGCACGTGGTCACATCTAAATAACTAATATCTCTTGTCATAGACATCAATCAATAACAATCTTAAATGCGGCCTTGGACTTGACTAAATAGGTTTGCGACAGCGACGATGGTAGTAACTTGTCTTGTCAATCACATATTACAATATCTGCTTAAGATCTTCTCACTGCCTCACCCCAGACCGGCTCTTCTCATGGGGTCTGTATGTAATAGGGTCGGTCTAGTTTTGCTCTGATGGGAGAAGTGGGTCGTCCACACTTGAGGGTCGGTTTAATTTCGCCTCATGTAGGTGTATAGAGAGCGGCACCGCCGAACTGTTTGCCACATTGAATGATTGAGACCATGAGTGGGCCTTTGTGTAATGAGGCGTAACAAATTTTTTAATTTAGTATAGTTAAAGGAACACCTGGCAATTCGAGATGTTTCTAGAATACATTTTAAGGAAAAATAAAATATTTTTCAGGAATTTAACGTAAGGCATCGAAGAAACTTATTAACGTAAGGGTTTTGGGTTTGTGAGATGAGGGAAAACAAAACCTTAATCGATTTTTGATCCATTCTTGATGTTTCAGGAAATCTTGTACAAATTTTAGGTGATTTCAGCTTCTGTTGTAATTGATTTTGTCCTTGGTTGGAGGTCGAGATTTTACAATAGTGTCAATATTTGAGTGTGCATCTTGAACGGATTTTAGTAAGATTATTGTCCATGTTCGATGTTAACACATTCTACTTCGTGAGGAGATATTTAGATTGTTCAAAATGATTTCTGAACCAATAAGAAATAAGTCTAAAGTTATATTAATTTAGAAAATAAAATTAATTTTAGAGAGATTGTGGTCCAACTTTAACACATTCAATTCGTGAGGACATGTTTGGCCTACATTAGTTCGTTCAAAATGAATTTGAGCCGATGATATATAAGTCCAAAGTTGAACGGTTGGTTAACTTAGAAAAAAAAACTGAATTTAGTGAGACAATGGTCCACCATTAGCAAACTCTATTTTCTGAGGATATGTTCATGCTACACAAAAATGTCTTTGTTAGGGATTTATCTTCCCCAGAGCTCCAAGATCAATACAAGAATTGCAAAAGAAAATGGCACCAGCAAAACGAAACAGAATTGACAAACCAGCAGAAGAAATAAACTAATAGAAGGAAAAACAGAGCAGATTTTGGTAACAGGAAGAGTTCTTCTTCCTTCATCTTTATTCACAAAAGATTACATTCATTCAATTACATGAATCAGTAGAAAAAATTTCCAGATAGGTTCCTCTCCAATCTACACTTTCTACTGCAGAATTACAGAGTTTTTCTCACTCTCAAGCTCACTATTCAGAGCTCCCTTTCTCACTTTCTCTTCTCCTTTTACACTCTCGAGAGACTTGCTTTTCTATCACCTAACCAGGCTATTCATAGACACAATACAAGAGTCATTTTAGCTATTAACTACCACCTAACGACTAAGGCTCCAGTTGGTTGAAAGATTCCAACTAACTCAGTCGTAAACCGGTAAATTGAAGGCTCCAGTTTGCAACAATTTTTACGATTTGCT